GTAAAGCTGCCTGTAAAGTAAAACAAGCTTTCAGTGCTTTAAAGCTTTCTTTATCACACAAGAGCAAAACAGATTGGTCGTCAATGCACAGCAAAAACTATGGTGCGGACTGTGAGTGCCGGCTGCGGGCAAGGTTTCGAGGCCGGTGAGCGCGGTACTGAAGTGGTTAAAAATCACAAACAAATTGGTTTTACTCCAGAAATGCATAGATGTTTTAACATTAGAAAATGTTAAATGTAACTTATTTATTGACGTTTTAGGCCAGATAATTCTTTGCTGTGAGGGCTGTCCTGTTTATTATAGAATTTTTTCTAGCATATGACATGATGTTTTGATATATGTATATATTGTGAAATGATTACCACAATCAAGCTAATTAATGTATCCATTAACCTCACATAGCTACCTTTGTGTGTGTCTGTGTGTGTGTGTATGTGTGCGTGGTAATAACATTTAAGATCTACACTCAGCAAATTTCAAGTATACAATACAGTATTATTAAGTATAGTCACCATGCTATCCATTAGATATCCAGAACTTATTCATCCTGTATAACCGAAACTTTGTACTCTTTGACCAACATCTCCCCATTTCCCCCACCACCCAAGTCCCTGGAAACCACCATTCTACTCTCTGTTTCTATGAATTTAACATTTTTAGATTCCTCATTGTCTTAGTCTGTTTGGGCCACTATAACAAAATCTTAATACTTCAGACTGGGTAGCTTATAAACAACAGAAATTTATTTCTTACAGTCCTAGAGGCTGGAAAATCTGAGATCCAGGCCCCAGCAGATTCAGTGTCTGGTGAAAGCCCATTTTTTGGTTTATAGATAATGCTGCCTTCTTGCTGTGCCCTTCCAGGTCAGTCTTCAGGTGGCCTTCAACCCACCCAGTTCTCTACCCTTTCCTGCTTACAGTTTTCAAGAATAACTACAGAACATGCTGGGAATACAGCACAGAAATTAGCTAGGATACCCTGGACTCTGTTCCAGTCCATCCTAGAAACAGGATGTGCTCCAATCCTTTAGCCCAGTGATTCCTGTGACCCCTGGGTATAAAACCCAGAGGCGGGTGCTTTCTGGAATCTCTCCGCAGACATGCAAGTGGGCATGTGCAGATCTGTTCCAGGTAACTTTCCTGAGGGGAAACTTTCCTTGGGGAATTGGCTTGCAATGAATCCTAGGCATCAGCTGTCCCTTGCTGCCTGTCTGTCTGTAAGTAATAAATTCACTTCATGTAACTTGTTATATGTCTGAATGCAACCAGTGCACAGTGAACCTGCTTTGCAGTCCTCACATGGTGGAAGGGATTAGCTAGTTCTCTTTTATAAGGGTACTAATACTAATCATGAGGACTTCACCCTTATGACCTAATCACCTCCCAAAGCCCCACCTCCTAATACCTTGGGGTTATTTCAATATATGAGTTTTGGGGAAACACAAACATTCAGACCACGGCACACATATAAGTGAGATCATGCAATATTTGTCTTTGTATGCCTGGCTTATTTCACTTAGTATAATCTTTCAGGTTTATCCATGTTGTCATAAATGACAGAATTTCCTTCATTTTTAAGGCTGAAGAATATTCGTGTGTGTGTGTGCGAGAGAGAGAGAGAGAGAGAGAGAGAGAGAGAGAGAGAGAAATTTTCTTTATCCATTCATCTGCTGATGCATACTTAGTTTGATTCCATATCTTGGCTATCATAAATAATGATGCAATGAGCATGAAAGTGTAAACAACTCTTCAAGATACTGGCCTCTACCCAGGTGTGATGACCAAAAGTATATCTAATGTGGCCAAATGGAAGTGCCTCCAGCTGAGAACCACTAATGTAGAGGCTGGAAAACTGTGTGTCATGCATGGTTTCCACACTTACTGGAATATGTGTCAGTTGTACAGGTCTTAAGAACACAGACCAAACTGCTATATTTTGCTCCAAATAATATCATCCCTTAAACATAGTTTTTACTTCTCTTAGAATTCAACAGTCAGTGCTATTTACCAATAAGACAATAATAAATCTACTTTATTATTTCTGTGTAAAAATGACATGTACTTCACAGGATAGTCCTCATAGATTCATTTAAATCTTGAGTATGAATTATACAAGGACAATTTTTTAGTAACTTTTATTTCAATGTAATATTTAACTTACAGAAAATTTTCAAGAAGACTATAAGGAACTCTTACATATCATATATTATCTACCCAGATTCAACAATCGCTTATTTTTTGTCCCACTTGCTTTATTATTTTCTCATTAAATATACAGATTTTTTTTCTGAGCCATTTAAGAGTTAAAGACATCATGCCTCTTTACCACTAGGTACTTAGTGAATATTTCCTAAGAACATAGACATTCTTTACATAATCACAGTATAAGTATCAAAGTTGAGATATTTGACATTGATATAGCAGTATTATCTAATCCACAGTTTGTATTTAAATTTCACCAATTATCTCAATAATGCCATTTAGAGTTACTTCTTCCTCTGTCCAGATTCTAATCCAAGATTCTGCATTGCATTTAGTTATCTGAACTCCATAGTCTCTTTCAGTCTGGAACAGTTTTGCCTTCACATTTATTCACTGTTTCCTCATAATTAGATTCAGGTCATGTGTTTTTGACAGGAATACCACAGAAATGATGGTATGTCCTTTTCAATGCATATATTAGAACATATGTGATACCAGTTTGTCACAATATTGGTGACATTCACTTTGATCACTTGGTTAAAGTGGTATCCACCAGGTCTCTTCTTTATAAAGTTACTGGTTTTTTGTAATTAGTAAGTAATTTGTGGGGACATACTTTAAAGCCATGTTAATGGCCTATTCTTCATCAAACTTTTGCTGGCTATTTAGACAGCAGTGATGATTTGTCTCACTCCATTATTCCTTCTGTATACAGTAGCTGGCATTCTACTGTAAAACCTGCTTTCCTTTTGCCCCCATTTAGTTATGCTTATCAGTAGGGATACAGTGACTCTCATTTTATTCTACAGACTATGTATTTATTTTAATGTTCAAATAGTCCCAAATTTAGCCAGGGGAGCTCCTTCAAGCTAGCTCATACACATAAAAAAATTCTAATCCCAAAATATTATTATCTTGTCACCTACCATAATTCTGGGATGCCTTCCCCTGGGTTCAAATATTCTTTCCTCAGAGAATGCATCATGAGTTTATATGAAACAACTATAAACATAATTAGTAAAGTAAATCTCCTGAAAAAAATCTGTTATTTTGGGGTTATACGCTATTTTGAGATCACTTTATTAATATAGATATCAAAAGGCAAATTTAAATTAAAAATCTGACTCATTTAATGTGCATTATTATGATAGAAAAGGTAACCTAAAGTAATTCTGATAACCAATCCAGAGTTTAAATTATAAAAGACAAAGGTTTTGAGTCTTGGCATTAAATAGTTCACTTTTATACTAAAGTACCAGAGACTATTCAAGTTGCAAAGAGGATACCAAGAAATTTGACTGATATACACTTATCCAGAAAAATAAAGGTATGGAAGGCTTTTTCTATAGGTTTTTGACAACTTACATACAAGTAACCACTATCAAATGTTCATTTGTAATTCTAAACTCCATCCAATATTCCATAGAATGTTATCAATATAAATCATGGAATGTTAATACTGCCATAGAGGACCTTGAAGATGATTACTGTTAACCCCCTTATTAAAAAAAAAATAGGCCCATAGAGATAAACTGTTACAGAAACAATTACTAGAAAATTTAGAATTTGATTTTCAGTATTTCAAGACAAGAACTATTTTAAGCATGCTCCTTATAATGGTGAGATTAACAAATCAGTCTACAAAAAAAGCTATTGAGCCAACAGTGGCTGAATAAACTAAATATAGTTTAGAATAAACTAAATACAATGGCTGAAACATTTAGCAATAAATGATAGTACTGCAGGCAGGAATCATTATTAACATAGCCCAAAAGTTACATTGAAAATAAGATTTTTAAATACTGAATTTGGGACTAGATTAATTGGAAGATGATGGGAAGATCTATCAATATTTCTGTTGGGATTCCTAAAGAAAACTTATGGGCTCTCTAGAGACTTATGGCCCTGGTTCTTTAATATGTATAACTTTACCATAGAACTTAGGATTTTCCTTTTCCACAACAGGCATGTACCATCAATATGATTCAAACTTATCAGGCATAATTAAGGCTGTTTGGGGCCTCTCCATTAACTGCTAACTTTTTATATTTAAATTAAGATTTGTAAATCTGCCGAGAATACTACAAGAGATATTTTCTGTATTAGAGATGATGTAACACTAGAGATCGCTAAATTTTATTTTTTTGAAACAGAAGATTTTTTATATAATTCCATAATTTTCCCTCATTTGTTTCATAAAATCTCCTCAACTTCTCAAGGATGTTTCCTTTAAAATAAAATTTAAATAGCTGGTTTTATAGGTAGAAACCATCCATGACACTCAGGCCTCCTCCATCTTTACCTGTCTGGTGTGATCAATTCCTGGATCTCCAGTGATCTGAGGCCTTTTCCTGTTCTCCTTCCTGTCTTCCTCCTCTAATTATATTTGAGGCTGAAAACAGGAGAATTAACTCTCTCATGACTCTGTTGATGTTTCTCCTCTTAAAGTAGGCAGTGCTTCAAGTAGGAAGTAGATTCTCAGATATAAACCTCAAGAACTGTCTTAGAGTTAACTCAAAGAAGCTATCATTGAGCTATTTTAAATCTTCCCTTGAATAGAACAGAATTTCCATATATAGTTACCACTGGATGAGATATATTTCTTAAAGGCAACACAGAACAGAGAGAGAAAATGTTTTACTCACCTTAAAATTCAAAACACAAAATGAACCAGAAAGGTTTTTCTGCAGTTATAAGGTATTATTTTTCAAAATCTATTGAAGTTAATCACTTTGTGAATCTTAGGATCAGAATTTTCCATGATAACTAATAAAATAAGTAAAGCAGCACTGTACATACCCTGAGTGGCTGTTGGAGGTAGTTTGAGGGTATTGTCTAACTTCTCCCAAAGGTAAGTTGGTCGAGGAATGCCTTCCTCTGAGCTACAGAGCAGGATGACATCGCTGCCAATATCCTGGGATCCTTGGATTTGGCAGTGTGGGGCAGAAGGGGGAACTATAACAGGAAGAGTAAGCAATAAAGTACACATTTACTGTAAGCCAAGTGATGGCGGAGGAGACATCAACATTCAGTACACTGAACCTGACATAACATTATTTGGGGGGGACATACCAGGATACAAACTCATGGATGAAGCCAGAGAATAGTCATGTACTATACAAGGATTGCGCAGAGATGTAGGGCCTGCAACTTCAGTTGGCAGGGAACAAATATTTAAAAAGGGGGTATACCCTTAGATTCAATTTTTAAGATATGATCTTATTTTCACTTAGCTTCCTCTAAAGAATTCTTAAGATTCTTCATGTCAACATGTTACCTTTAAAATCACTGCTGAAAGAGGCCACTTTCAGAGGAGATTTCAAGGAAAAACACACTTACCCTGCTAGCTATTCTCTAAGACCACCTTAACAAGGTCCTTTGATACTTTGCAAACAGAACCAGAGAGACCCACTTTATACCAAATGTGGGGAAAACTAGAGTAAGGTCCAAGTAAGGGGGATGTTTACAGTAATGCAGTGAACATTTTATAATCATTAAGACACATAAGGACAAAAAGAGCATGGAACAAAATTACCAAAAAGAACACTAAAGGAAGAAAGTGCTGACGTGTAGTAAAACACAAGCAAATAAAAATATAAACTAAGCCCATAGCTTTAAGTCCTGTATTAGAGAATGTAGACAGTAGTTTAAGTCTAAATGATGATATATTTGTAATACTAATGACTTTTCAATAAATATGTTCACCCTTTCAGAAATGAATGAATGAATGAATGAAAAACGAATGCAGCGTGTACAAAAGAAGCAGGAAAGACAGTGGGTGGGAGAAGAGAGAACAATAAAAGGTTATGAGTAGAAAAAGTAAAAACTCTTAGATAATCCTAACTGCTGTTACTGGGTAAAACAATCTCCTCAATTTACTGCCTTTGACATTGCCATTGTGATGCTGTGAAGGAAAAATCTTTGGAGGTAGCATTAATTAATAACTAATTAATAAAATAAATTAAAGGCTTTTTTCCTTTAAAAAAATGAAAAAAAAATAAGCTTGAGTAATGTGGAAAGCCAGTTACCTAACCTACAGGTATAAGCATCAGAATAACATTTAATTTCATTAGTACTCTGTACTCAGCACTCAGAGTATTTCAAAATCTATACAACTTTGAATATATTAAAATGTGTAAGATTTTAAGAATGAAATCACCAGCCTGGTCCGTAGTTTCTTATTCTCTTTGAAGGCTTAGAGGAAAAGGCACCGAGGTTTATAGCATATTGTTGCCCAAAGGGGGAACATGGCAAGAATCCCCAAAGCAAAAAAAAAAAAAAAGTATTCTGAAGTGCCTCAACAACAGAAAGATAAAAAGGTGGGAGAATTGATGAGGACTAGGGGAGTAGATTCTGGGACTTGGGTAGGATGGAGGAGAATCAATCAACCTGCTCTAAGCACTTTCTCCATCTCCCCAAATGAACTGCATTTAGCCACCTCTACCACAAGTGTCTGTTTAGAAAGCAGTGTTTTATTTCAGAGACAGGAGAATTGAGAAATAAAACATGTTTAGAATGTACACAATTTAGTGTGAGATAGCCTAACAGCATGGTATAATGGAAAGAGTACTGGTTTGAGTAATGAAATCTAAGTTTTAGTATAAACTTTGTCGTTGTTCATTGTCTATCTAACCTGGGCAAAGGCCCTAAATCTATTTGGTCTCAGTATCTGGTTGATAATATGATTTATTGTTTGAGCAAGGATACTTTTGAGAGTAAAAGGAGGTATTAAAATTATGGCAGGACAACAGGTACAAGCTGAGAACTGTGGTGATCCTGTTTAGTGTGACATACGAATGAAGTAATAGTATTGTTCTCACACATGCTGAAACTTCTGCTTCATGTCATACTCATGATAAAAAAAAATTATTGATTTAATTTGCTCTCAACAGTAAGTTCTGTCCTGTAGAAGCTTAAGAAAAGTGAGGGGCCACTTTTGATAGTATTTGATACCACCTTCTCCACCTTCAGAAAAAAATCATTGAAGAAGTAAACTTTAGAGATCACCTGAAATGGGGAAAGGAGTGGGAAAAGTATGTGTAACAAGCATGTTGAAGGCAAGGAAGGAGTGGTGGCTCAATGCCTGTAATTCTAGCATTCTTGGAGGCCAAGAGGGGCAGATCATTTGAGCTCAGGAGTTCAAGACCAGCCTGAGCAAGAATGAGACCCCATCTCCACTAAAAATAGAAAGATATTAGCTAGATGACTAATATATATATATATGTACATATATATATATATATATATATATATAATTAGCTGAGCATGGTGGCACATGCCTGTAGTCCCAGCTACTTGGGAGGCTGAGGCAGGAGGATCACTTGAGCCCAGGAGTTTGAGGTTGCTGTGGAGCTAGGGTGATGACACAGCACTCTAGCCCGGGCAATACAGTGAGACTCTGTCTCAAAAAAAAATCATGGAGAAGTGAGTAAAGCTGGAACTGAGAGAAGAAGACAAGAAAAGAACATGAGCTGACTGAGAGTGTGGAAGGAAAGACAGAAGTAAATACACTTGACAGGAGATTCTTAAGAAAAGTCCAAGGTGTCTGGAACTCTGTCACTGACCTAATACTGTGAGACCAGTGACCCCGATGTTCCTGCCCCCTCTGTCTGGGAGGTTATTGACCAGACACTGGTAAGTGCCTGTATCTGACAGCTGAGTGTTATTAATGAAGATAGAGACATTGGTGGCTGGCATGGTGCCTGTAAATCCTACCCTACCATGGAACCGGGGGGCACCGTCAAACATCTGTCCACCCTGATACAGAATGACCTGCAAAAGAAAGCAAAATAAATAAGTGGGCCACTGTATTCCCTCCTAAACACGTAGCAATAACTATCGAGTAGATGATAATGAATGTTGCTACACCGAATGCTGGAAAATTTTATTTCTAATTTGAGAGCTGTCACCCACTTTTAATATTGCCCCTATCCATAGGTATCTTGGGGTTCTAAATTCTCACATAACAAATTAGAATATCATTTCTCCCTTACTTAACTCATCAGAATATAGAAAATATCTTTAAAGTTACCCTACTATCAGCCTGTAAATATTTTACCAGCTCAAAAAATTAATTGCAAAATATAATTTTTTTAAAATATTAGCATTGCCATTCTCAGGCTTATTAGATCACCTGATGATAGATCAGAGTTATAGACTGAACACAAATATCATAAAAGGGAAGGAGAGTTATAAGTACATGACTGCTGTTCTTATGTCAATTTCTATTGTCAAAGTTAAGTCTTTGGGGGAGAGGGCTCAAAATGGTGTAGCAAAAAGCCCTCTGGGTTGAGAATGAGGGAGTTGGTTCTTTCTATTCAGGCTCTACCTTTTAATGTTTGGATAACTATAGTCAAGTTCTTTCTATGCCTCTTTGACTCTATCCTTGACTCCTAAAATGATGAGGTTGACCAAAATGATCTTGAAGATGCAATCTAACCACAAAAATTCCATGGTTTCAAGAAATAAAGGAAGCTTCCATTGAATTTTACATCAGAAAATGTAGCCTATAAAATATTTTTAGGTAGTAATAAGCTTATTAAACCAGAAAAACTTCATAAAAGATATATTATCATTGTAAATAGAGGTGTAGCCATTATCACAATTCATTAGTTTCCTGAGCATTATTTTCTGCAGTGGGAATTACAAATTATTGGTCTTTTTCCTATAATTCATACAGCTTATTAGGGAGTAGCTTCCATCTTCAGGTATATTCTTTTGTGTGCACATTCTAATTTATATAAGACTCTTCGAGGCTGGCTAGTATGCCTTGTTGTGTTTACTTTCAAATATTTGTAAAATCAGGTAAATAAATCAAGTATTACCACCTAATGTTACTTCCTTACTATTATCACTATCTTTTAAAAGTATGCTCCCAACCACCAGTGTTAGTGCCAGTCCCTTCTGTCTTCTTTGCTTTTTCCATCTTGGTATTTTCCTATCAGCAATGTTTTTGATAAAATTCCAGGTTCCTACATAAAACTCTTAGAAGGATCTCCTAGGCAATTGTTAATATGCTTTTTTTAAAAAAAAATTAGGCTTTTAAAAAGAAGATAGTTAACATGTGATGGCTGATTAATAATAATGCAGAGGGGTAGGACCTAAAATAGTTACAGGCACACTGGAACTGCCACCTTAGTCTAGAAATCAAATGTATACTCAGGAGGCTTCCCTGCCCACCTCTTCTAATAAGATTAATATTTCAGCGGTAGCACAGGGTAGAAGAGAAGTACCTGTTCAGGCTGGTTAGCATTGGCAAGAGGAATGACCATCCAAATGACATTGAGGTTAATGAGGGCAGCGCTGGTAGTGAACGTGCAGGGCAGGACTGCTGTCTGGCCCCGGGCCACCTGGATACTCCCAGGGCTCTCTGACACTTCCAGGGATGCTGCAACACCTACAGAAGGAGGAACAGGGAGGTTATATACTCACCCTTTCCCCACAGTCCAAACTCCTTCAGAAACGTTTATGTGTTTTAGGTTATCACATTATTGTTGATAATGTGAACAGACTGATACGACAGTCTTACTAAACAACTGCTGACCATTCATTGAGTCAAAATAATAAAAATGGTTCATTCACCTCTTTACCTCTTAGAAACTACAACCAAAAAATATTATTAAAGGCTATTTATTCTCTTTTGTAAGACACCATCTGGTATTTGCCCAGATTCAAACACAACATGGGAAAGAATTCAACTGGTAGGGTTTGAGCAAAACATGCAATGTTGATGAAAGATGAGAGATAAACTGAATTTTTAAAAGCATCATTATAATAGCATACCATGAAATTAAATGTTTATAAATAAATCTAACAAAATACATGCAGAATCTATATATATTATGTATGAATGTGTGTGTGTATATATATATCTGTGTGTGTAGATATATGGAAAAGACAATCTAATTATATAATGGCAAAAAAGATTTTAATAAACCTTTCAAGAAGTACTTATAAGCACATGGAAAGATTCTCAGTATCATTAATCAGTAGGGAAATACATATTAAAACCCCAGTAAGATACTACCATACATCCACTGGAATGGCTATAATCAAGACAAAACCAAATGCTGATGAGAATGTATAGAAACTGAAATCTCATACATTGCTGGTACAAACATAAAATGATATTGCCATTTTGGAAAATAGTTTCAGTTTCTTAAAAAGTTAAACATAAACATACCATACAACTCAGCAATTCCATTTCCTAGGAATCTACCCAAGTAAAATGAAAATGTATGTCCACATAAAGACTTGTCTATGAATATTCATAGCAGCATCATTCATATCATGCCCCAAAAGGGGAATAACACAAATATTCATCAACTGGCCAATAGATAACTGTGACATAACCATACAATAGAATACTCTTCAGAAATAAAAAGCATCAAACTACTGGTACATGCATGGATGAGGCTCTCAAAAACATTTTGCTAAATGCAAAAAGCCAGATGAAAAACACTGCTTATATGAAATGTCTAGAAAAGGAAAATCTATAGAGATGAGAAGCAGATTAGTGGTACCTGGAACTAAAGAGGAGAGACAGGGATTGTTGCACATAGGCTCAATGGGACTTTTTAAGGTGATGGAAAGCTTCTGAAACTAGATTGTTGTGATGGTTATACAACTCTATAAGTTCAGTAGTAGAAATCACTGAATTTTATGCCTTAAATGGGTAAATTTTGTGGAATATAAATTATACCTCAATAACACCGTTAAAACTCAAAAAAAGAAAACTGACTCATCAGAGCCAACTCCTGGGAAGTCAAAATAACTGTTATCTCTTCTGCAAAGAATGCCTGCCTCCCTGGGACTATGGAATAATACAGAAATCACAGGAGATTAAAACAGGTCAGGGAGACCCTACAAAGAAGCTATCCCCTAAAGCATGAAAAATACATTCAGTCTATGGCAATACCTCAAACTGTTTTAAGTGATAGTATCTCAATTCTCCAAAAAAAGTAACTCAATAACATACTGTTATGACTATAATTAGTTTAAAAGATAAACATACATTAACACCTTCCTTCTATAGAACTTTATGTTCTTCACATATAGTCTGATGATGTCCTCAGTTTTTTGCATAATAAAATGTTTCATAAGTCATCTGTGCTAGAACATAAAGCACTTGATGATATCAGGAAAGTCTCTAAGTTAACATTAGGGAAAGGCTCTAAGTTTTAACAAGGGAGTTGGAAGAAAGCTGTCAGAGGCAGAAAGGGAAGGTTATTTGATCACAGAGAGGCAATGAATAGAAGAACAAAGAGTATATTTGTTACAATGATATGATAAAGTTATGATAAATGCCACTAGATGTTTTTAAAAATGAATGTGGAAGCCAAACTGGTGACAGAACCTCCATCATTGCATTCTTCAGACCACAATGTAAGGAAGAAGTGAATGTGACCCCCATAAACCATAAAGATGACGTATACCATTCACCAATGATTCACTACTTTCAAGCTGAACTCATATAATCTTTGATAAAAATTTTTAAAAGAAAAGAAATGACCAACAAGAACTAAGAATGAGAGAGGAAGATGTAGGTGGGAAAACAACCACGACAGGGTAAGCAGGGGAAAAGTAGATGCGCAGCAGGGGAGGAAGCCAGGAGGAAACAGAAGATCTGCTGGCACACGGCAAGCCTCCGGGCAGCAGAGGCTGGGAAAGACTACCTCATTTACTTCACATTTTTACATGAGGTTAACCCTGAAATCTAAAGTTTTGAGACAGCTGCAGAAGAAATATTCTAGATAAGCTGCCTTCAGAACTTGTAAAGGTGTGGGCCTGAAGCTGGACAGATCTGGTATGGAATCTGGCTCTTTCATGTACTTATCTGTATGGCCTCGAACAAGTCACTTAATCTTTGACTTTGAATCTGTTGCTTTATCTGTAAAGCAGGGCTAAATACTGTCATCACATCATCAAAGGGATATGATGAGGCCAGTACAGACGCTGAGGACTCTCACCACGACTGCTGTTGCTAGCTAACATTGGAGCACACTGGCCACACCAAGCCACACTAAGCTCTCTCTATACACACACTCACACACACACACACACACAGAGCTTACAGTCACTTAATTCTATAAGGCAGGTATCTACTGACATTATCCCCACTTTACAGAAGAAATTGAGGTCCAAGGAGAATTAAAACCAGCTCAGGGTCACACAGTCATATAGTGAGGAAGTGACAAGGTCTGTATTCAAATCCAAGCAGTTTGTCTATAGGGAAAATACACTTAACTACTACACATAACTCATAGAAATCATTCCATAAACTTTCATTATTATTATCACTATCATATCACAAAATATAAAATCAGAATAGAATTTTATATAAAACCATTAGAAATTCCTTCTACTTTCTGCTTCTAAATCTACAAATCTGTTTCAGTCTGCCTCACCCTCATCTCACTCTCTCCTGTTAGATTAGAGGAGTTTATCTAAGACCAACCCTTTATATGAGCTTTAAATTCCATCTGCTTGACTCCCTGAGTCACCTTATCACAGACTGCCCCTCTCTTGTAGCTTCAGTCCCTCCCTCTGCACGGGAGACTTCCTGATAGCATCTAAACATCCTCAAGTATTTCAACTTAAAACAATGTTCCTACCTCCCTACACCCCACAGTCATTTCCAAAAACTGCTCTCGCCTGCGCTCACGCTCGCGTGCGCGCTCGCCCTCCCTCTCTCTCTCTCTCTCTCTCTCTCTCTCTCTCTCATACTTCTTGAAAGATCTGTCTATACTCACTCTCTCCACAGACTCCTCTCCCATTCAGTCTTCAATCCACTCCTGCCCCCACCGCTTCTTAAAAACAGTTCTCTCCTACACTTCCCAGAGACTTCCTTGTGGTCAAATGACACTTGTAATCACTCCTGGACTCTTAGTAGCTTCTAACAGAAATGAACTTTCCCCCCTCCTTGAAACACACCTTTCCCTTAGCACCAGCAACATAATTCACTCCTGGTTTTCTTCCTATCTCTCCGCACACTTTTTCTCAATCTCTTTTGCTGTTTCAGCCTTTTCCATGTGGCTATTCAATGTTGGTATTTCCCAAATGGCTGCCTTGACTTCTTATTCTAAACTATCTTCCTACAGAATTTCATCTACTATCATATACATGCTAATGGCTTCCAAATACATATCTCTAACCTAAACTTCTCCTCTTAAATCCAAGTGCCTCCTGGACAACTCCATGTGGCTATCTCAAAAGTCCACTTGTCCAAGACCAATTCTTCCCCTCCATGCTTCCTCCCCTGTGTATTCTGGCTTCTTTCTGATGTTCCCTATGGCAGTGAATGGCTCAAACAAGACCAAGTTGTACAAGCCACGAATTTAGAAATCTTCCTTAACTCCTATTCTCTCATACCTCCCAAAGCCAATCCATGATTAAATCTGATACAGTTTGCCAACTAAATTTCTCTTGACTTCTTGAATCAGAGCCTTTGCTCTGCTCTCTTTTCTCTGCCTGGTTTGCTTTGTTCCAAACTCCAACCTCTGTAACTTATTCATCCTTCATATTAGCTCAAGTGTTACCTTCTCCCAGAAAAGCCTTTCCTGACCTCTCAGTCTAGATCAGGATCTCACAAGGCAGTGTCAGGACACTATCTGAGCTTGTAATCATACCTTCATTACTGTGATTATTTAACATATCTTCACCAGTATATCATAAGCTCTAAGAAAGCACATAATAGGAACTAAATAAATACATGTTGCTAAATTGATCTAATCCAATTCCTTCAATTTCCACATGAAAATACTAGAGTCCAAAGAGATGGGCTTGCCGAAGGTCTTAATATCTGGACCTGCATCTTCTAAGTTCCAATAAAGTATGTTTTCTACCATACCAAACTCTACCACAGATCATCTCTCAGAAAATAAGTGATGAGGATACTATCATTTGTATCACGATTAGGGTGTAAGGATATTTCTTTATCAATAGGACTGATACTGAACAATAAAAATTCTATTTGTAGAGGATGTAAACAAGTGAAAACATAGACCATGCTCATGGGTCAGCAGAATCAACATTGTTAAAATGTTTATACTACCCAAAGTGACCTACAGTGTCAATGCAATCCCTATTAAAATACCATCATCATTTCTCACAGATACAGAAAAAATAATTTTACGCTTCGTATGGAACCAGAGAAGACCCCGTATAGCAAAATCAATCCTAGGCAATAAAAACAAAATAGGAGGTATCAATTTACCAGACTTCAAACTATACTACAAGGCTATAGTAATTAAAACAGCTTTTTACTGGCACAAGAACGGGGTCATTGACCAGTGGAACAGAACAGAGAACCCAGATATAAACCATCCTCATATAGCCAACTAATCTTCAACAAAGCAGACAAAACATACACATATACATACAAAAACATACATTTAT